TTTAGTCCCTTACACTTAAATATCTCTTGCACATCTTCCGCTTTGGGATTTGTAATTAGCTTGCTTTTGAGAAGACATGAATCCAAAAAGCTTATGAGCTTTCCCTTGGTTTCATCCACCATTGCATTCACTATCTCTCTAGCACCAGCAAAATGTCCTCCAACTTTGGCCCCAATAAATAATAGGATCAATGTATATTTAAGTACTGGAGCAAATTTATTGAGCCAATTTGGTGGGATATTCAATTCAACACCTTCAGAACTCTTCACTTGATGACCTTTAGAAGTTCCTTGAGGCCATTCACACAAATAGTGAAGTCTACCATGTGTTCCCAATATTTTACTGTAATTTTTCCACCTATTATTCTCATCAAGAATATATGGATATTTTGGGCAATCTGTCTCCAATTTCAATAATACTTGAAAACACGTTGTATGGATTGCATTCACTTTATCCATGATAGACTTGAGTCCATTCTTCAGCTCGTTAAGGCTTACTTCAATGTTATCAAGTTTTGTATCCAATTTGTCAAACCGGTTCTCCATTTTATCAAACTTCTTATCAAAATATCTAAAGATTGCATCGAGTTTTGGGTCTTCAATGTTCGAAAACTCAACAACATCTGATGATGCTTTGGGAATTGTGACTTCTCTAACCTCCTCATAGTCCTTCAAAAATTCATAAAGTTCAATAAACTTCTTTACCCCTTCATGTTTTTGCTCGTTAGGCATCAATAGCTTAGCCAAAGCATTCCATCTGAGACTTTCAAATCGTTAATCACATCCCAACTCTCTACTTCATGTGAATCATTCCAAGTATGAGAGTAGTCTAAACCGCTTTCTCTTGCTTCACATTTGACTTGCTTTAATGGATAAATAACTGCATCCCATGATTTTGGTTTGCCCACATTATTTAGTATCCTTCTCCACACATAACCACGTCTCATTACATTTTCTTCAATTTCCAAACATGGGCAATCCTCCAAACATACCCCAATAATGCAATTTCTAATTTTTTCCATCCATCCTTTAGCTTCCTTTTCCAAATCTGGCCTTAGTGTATTCTCTACCTCTTTTGGGTAATAGATGATGACATCAACCCATTGCCTATCTTTCCAATTGTCTGTGTCTCCCCCAACTCTCACAATTGTCTTGATAAGGTTTTCTTTCAAAGCCACCCATCCATTCCCAAGCCTGAAATCTTTCTTGCTTAATTTGTGAAGTTTAACTTGGATCTTTGTGAAAATACTTGCAGGAAACAATTTCAAGTCCTTGTCTTTGCATTCAAACCTCCTGCCCCAGTAGTTGTGGTTTTTTTGAGTGTCAATTGGCACTGAGGGTGACAATAAATATTCTGGAGGTGAATATTCTTCTTGCAATAGTGTTGGCATTCTCAACTCTTTGGGCAAGTTATGCCAATTCCCATCCCATGTATCATCCCAAGGCAATATCACTCCCATCTCATGGAGCACTCCAAGAATGTACTCCACTATTTTGTCTTGGTTCCCACATTGTTGCTTCAACTGATGTTTAACTCTGTGTGTTTCCATTTGACTTTTGAGTTTGCTTGTCTCAGTATGTATGAAGAGTTGCACCACATCCCTCATAAACCATTGGACATCTAAGATGACAAATTGAGACACAATGTCGTCCTCTTCATGTCCCAAGCCAAAGTAAATTGCATCACCAGAATCATGTAGAAATTGCAAGACGAATTTGAGAACATCCTTGGAACTCCTGTGAGGCAAAAGGATTTTGCCAACTTTATCTAGGGGTATGACCTTCTTGTGAGTTGGATCTTGTACCAATTTCCTCTTTGCTTTGAGACATTCCCGTGGTATTTTTTGCTGGGCTGACAGCAGTTCTTCCAAGCAACTCCCCAACATGGTTTTTATCCCCCTTAAATCTTTCACTTGAGTGGCCACCACCTCAAAACAAAGATCTGTCCCAAACTCAAGTACTTGCTCATAGCCTTTGTCGGAGATTATTGCAGAAACCACCTCCTTTGGGTCAAAGTCGGGTTCTGGAGTGAAAAAGTTCGAGGCAATCAAGACCCTGGGCTTCCTTTTGGGTGAGGCTGATTGATGTGAAGCGATGAACCTCAGCCAGTAAACCAAATTCTGCTTGAAAACGTCACAATTGTCATCCTCCACCTTGCATACGATCAAGAAGAGATCGTTCTCACTTCCTCTGAGAAAGTACTGGTGGAAAGCATGGAACTCTTCCTGTCCAGCCAGGTCGCAAATGAGCAGCTTTTGTTTGGTGGTCGCATAGACAAGTGGTTGCAGCTCAATGCCTGCTGTTGAAGCATGCCTTTGGAGACATGATGGAAACCAAGACACTCTGCGGCAGAGGTTTTTTTTTATTGTGGTCTTTCCAACCCTGCTAGCACCACACAAGAAGAGCTTTGCTGTTGACGGGTTGTCAAAGTCTTTGAATGCACTCTGCTGGAAGATTGCATTCCGCTCTAAAAGACCAGAACACCTCTGCTTGAAAGCTTCAGAAGCTTCGGAATCCCAGCCTAGATCAAGCTCTTCCACGAGGCTTTGGTAGTTTTCCTCCAGGGCAGCCAGAATTTGTCTTTTCTGTGCATCACTTGTAAGATCAGGAGCCCTGAATCTGCGCACCTTGCATTTTGGATCCCCCAGCAACTGGCAAAGCTCTTCCAGGTTTTCAAATTTTCGCTCAGATATTTTCAAGTCTTCAATGCTGCTTCCCAAAAGGCACCTCCATGGCAGTTCCGACTCACACAACAAAGCTTTCAGAGACTTGCAGCTGGAGATAGCTTTCCAAAAGAGCTCCCCATTCGTGATTTTGCAACTCCATATACCCAAATGCTCCAGTTGGCTCTTCTCTATGCCCTCGGCAAACTCCAACGTTAACTCATCTTGTCCACCACTTATTACCAAATGGCGCAGCTTACAATGTGGACTTGAGAGGGCTGACCACAGACTGCTGTCACCGACCATTCCTCCTCCCTCGTTGGGCGAAAAAAGATGAAGCTTGATCAGCTTGCAATTGGGATTTTGTAGCGCTTTGCCCAACCATCCACCACCTGGATAAAGAGTAACGCTGAGTTCCTCCAAGCCACACTTAGCGCTGCTCAGGGCCTCACCCAGGCCCGTTGCATTGCTCAGGTCCTCACTCTGTCTCATTTCTTGGCAATCTAAAACTGACAGGCTGGTGCCCTCCTGAAGAGCCTTGCATACCCATGGCAACACTGCAGGATCAGTTTCCCAAAGTAGGTTTAGTCTTTGCAGTGAACAGCTTGGACAAGTGAGTGCCTTGAAGAGTGCTTCACCTGCCTCCTCTGGAAACGAATATGCCTGCAGTGCCACTAGCTTATTGCAAATGCCATTCTGAAATGCCTGTTCCCACCGTGCCTTGCCTAAACCCTCATCTCTGATGGCTAACTCTTCCACCTTGCACTCCTGACTTGCCAGATCCCTACTCAATTTCCCAAATCCTTCCACTGTCATCCTGTTCCCCAGCAATTGGAGACGTTTCAAGTTGTTTCCTGGTTTCCTAAGGAGTTGGCTAAGGAGAGTCTCTGGGTTCCCAACATTGCGCAAGCAGAGCTCTGTCAAGCAGTCGAGCTGAGCAAAGGCCAACTCAAGCTCCTGAGGTGGTGTGAGGATGTCTTTGCCTAGCCAATTGAATTCTAGCCCTTTCAAGACCTTGAATTCCTCTGTCATCGTCAGTAGCTTTGCAAACCTCTGCATCTCAATCTGCCAAATATCCTGTCCCTGCTGAGGAGGAGCAATGCCCTCTGCCACCCTTTGCATTCGATCACTGGGAATGCCCAACCTACAAGCGACCCTGGCAACGGCGTTGATGAATCTGATGTCGAGCTGTGGTACCAAAGCGGCCTTGAGAATGTCAATGTGAGCAGCAGCAGCAGCAGACGAACTGCCATCACCAGGAGCATCTCCCACATCCAGAGCCCTGTCTAACCAGGGTGGATTTGAAATGCACCAGTTGAGCACACCAATCAGATCCTCCTCTGTGCCTCCAAACCACTCGACGGTAGCACTCACCTCATCAACAAACTCACCTTTGGATGCGTCAAGCGCCTCCAGCTTCCCGATGTGCCCACAATAAAACCCAATCGTATTGAAGTGCCGCTTGTTGTCCCGCTTCGCTGCGAGAGCCTCCTTGATCTCCTTGACAGAGATACAGTAGGTCCACACTCGTCGCTCCTCCTCCATGGAAGTTTGCCCTGGATCGAAGGGACAGTGGAGAGCACGAGTAAACTTGTAAAAGTGAACCTTGCCAGCAGTGGAAGCAAAGCAGTAAAGAAAGTATGCCAGCTGTGCAAGAAAAGCAAAGCATATGCCAGCTGTGCAAGAAAAGCAAAGCATATGCCAGCTGTGGAAGCAAAGCCATCGTATGGAAGCAAAGCGGACAGTACAAGCAAGAGTTAATTTAGGTTTTAGGGTTCTTCGAGCAAGACGGCCGAGAAGCGAGCTCATCGCGACGAGAAGAAGGTGTGGGACGAGGATGATATTGATGCGATCTTGGTAAGCAAAGCACTGGCCAAAGACTCTCAATCGTTTTCCTTCTTGTCAGGCTAAACTCCACGAGGAGAGAGCAAAGAAGAGCGAAATTCATGTCGATGAGAATGTAGCAGCTCCTTCACCACAATGCAATTGCTCTGTGCGTAAGAACTCGATTGAAATCTCCACTCTGGAAGCTCACATTCTCTAGAATTCTTCTTTTCTTGCGTTTCAGGTGACTGTAAATCCCGTCAAGGACACTGCGCTGATCGTCCATGGAGGTGAATACCAACAATGGTGACAAGGTTTGTGGTTAGTTTCGCTACGGTGATTTGATCTTCGTGTTTGCTATGCTAGACTTACGTTTATGGTGATCTCTACCAATACAACATCGAGAAGAACGAGTGGAAGCCTGTCACCAGTCCAAACTCTCCTCCCCGAGAAGCGCTCACCAGGGGGTTGCGTGGAAAAACTGGCGCTTCAGTTTTGGTATGATGTATTTTTCAGGACTTCTCTTGATTTTGGCAGTGTAGGTGGTGAATTCGGTTTCATCACTATAAGGTGACTTACAAGAGAGTTCTTGCAGGATTTATGGAGACTGGATTTAAACACAAACGTGTGGCGGGAGCAGCTTCAACTAAAAGGCTGTCCAGGTGCTCGTTCCGGACATAGATTGGTATGTATTGCGCTTCTAAACATAATCTTTATTTTTTTCTTTCTTGCCACAGAAACATAAACTTATTCTATTTGGTGGATTTTATGACACGCTGAGGGAAGAAAGGTCGGCCGTTTCAGCAGTGTAGATGTTTAGTATTGAATTTTTGACACAGGTACTTCAATAATCTTTAAGTGCTGGATTTAGACGATTATAAGGTTTGTTTCTGTCGCTCATCGCTCTTCCTTGTTTTTTAACAACTAAACTGATTTCCTTTTGCAGGTGATTCCCTGCACAGCGTTTTTATGATCGAGATGTATATGCTTTCCAGATGGTTTGTATCTCGTCGATTTTTTTAAAATTATCTAAACACCATCGCTCGCAGGTATCCTTTGGAGCTTCTCAAGCCAAAGAGCCTAAAGATTAAGGTATGGCAATCTGAGATTGTGTAGTGGTTAAGTGTGCATCCAAAGCAGAAGAAAGTGGCTGATCCAAATGTGGAAAATGCGTCTCAACGTTGAGCGTTCTGCTTGAAGGTTGTTGCCTGGTGGAAGAATGAATGCTGGAATGGTCGTTGGAAAGGATACTTTGTTTCTGTATGGAGGTATGAAAGAAGTCGGCAAAAAAAAAGTGACACGACGACCTTTCCTCGCTGGACCTTCGATGTGTGGAAGTGCATTATTGAGGTTAGTATGATCGAGCCATCATCCAGCCTCATACTAATGTCTCAAGCAGGAAACACAAAGCGCGTGGATTGAAGCTAGTAAGGAGAAAGGCGAAACTGATGGTGACAACAGTCACCATGCTGGATCGATTAATAAAGGAAAAGACGAAGAGGACGATGACGAGGTAGTAAAAAAGAAGGATGTAAGAAAACTTGTCGGTTTCCTTTTGTATTCTAGGATGCAGTGGAGTCACTGTGAAGAGGCAGCTGCTATTCTTAGGGGCGAAGGCAAAAAGCTGACACAGAAAGCACGGAAATTAAAGATCGATCCGAGCTGGGCCTGGCTGATTCCCAACAAACACTTTTGGTGAGTGCTGATAGTAGTTCATCTTCCTGTTTTGTTATTGATTTGTCTTTCAGCCTGGAGAAACGCTGAGGGATTTTTTATCTTGGACGATCATGTGTTGGCAAATGGCACCTTACGATCACACCCAACACACTGGAAAGGTGACAACGCAGGTTTTCTTTCGCTCGTTCTTCATGCTCTATGCATCTATCAGGAGCTCAGGAAGGATGGATTTGACTTGGCAAAGAGACGCTACAGAGAACTTAAACCCGGTTGGGGTCCACGTCGTCAACAAAACGATGCGGATCAATGTTAAAAACCCACAGACTGGTACGTGCAATGCTTTACAGCCAGAAGTTTTGGCTTTCTTAGCGAAAAATCGTGCAGAATCTGGCAAGGAAAAGGAAAAGTATAATCGGGCCACTAACATTGCGAATGGAAGATAAGCTAAAATGCATTTATTTTCGTTCTCTTTCTTTCTGCGTGGTATGGCGGACTTCTCTCAGCATATCCCGAGCTCCATATCCAGTGATTCAAAGCAAAGTTCTCACCCTTATACCCCTCTTTGATGATAGTCGGGCAATTATCACACCACTATTCTTCCATGTCTTGTGTGTCTCTAGTCGGCCAACCAGAGTATAAAATGCGCCCACCACCTTCATTGCAAACTCCCCCCGCTCCCTCTTCCTCTCGCAGAAGGAGAGAAGGCTCCAAGTTTTTGAGTGAGCAAAGGGCTCTCACCTCGAGAACTCGACAAGCTCTCTCGATTCCAAGCTTGGCTCCTTCGGTTATTCTTCTCCTCTTTGTCCCCTTGCAAGAGTAAGTTTTTTCTTTGCTTTCGTAGTTCTGAGCTTGCGATTCTTTCAGTTTGGTTGCGCCAGCAATCGGGACTCTGACGAAACAAAACGCTCCATAAGCGTGATTTCCAGAAAGAGTACGTGCCTCGCTTCCTTCCATGCTTTAGATGCTCAAATGATTCTTTCATTCCCTTTCGCTCCATAAATTCCCTTTCTCGTGTTGACAAGAAAAGAGTTGAAGTGTGTGAGAGTGTGTGTAAGTGTGTAACTTACGACAGCTTCTTTTCATGTAGATTCCCCTGCATTCCCTGTCCTTTTGCTTCCTTTTTTAGTTCCATAGGCCAATGGATCGCTTGCTTCTTCTCTCCTCCTGCGCTCTGCTGCGTCAGTTTCACTCGGGAAAACGTATTCTTATGTAATTGTTCGCTGGCCTCGGTGAGAAACGAAGGCTTTCCCCCTTTTTTCCAGAGATGATCTTAAGGCGCTGTTTTCTTGTGAGAATTGGTGATGATTCCACGCCACCATTTGTCTCGTCATATGCTCACTGCCACTGTTCTTCCTCTGCTTCCAGAGCACAGGCGCCAGAAAAGTTTGAAGAGGCATTCTGAACTTGACACCATTTCCTCCAGGTATTTCATCTCTTGCTTGATCGTTTTCTTGACGATGTTCGCCTCAGGTAATCCAAGCTTTCAGACATGGTGAAGTTCCAGAAGCAGCTGGAGGGCCAGCTCGTCCCAGAGTGGCGGGTGAAGTACTGCGACTACAAGCAGCTCAAGAAAGTTGTCAAGAGAATCAAAACCCAGATCCTACATACCAAGAACCAGCAGCACAAGGTGTTCGATCCAAATGTCTTCTCGGTTGACAAGAGCAAGCTTGAAAACTTGCTGCAAAATCCCAGCGCCATCCTGAGCAGCTGCTGCGAACAATCCATATCCTCGGAAACGTCCATGGTCTGTGATGATGGTCTAAAACACTTCAATATGATCAGGTTGTGCACAAGACGAGAATTGGAGATGGCGAGGATTTTTACGAGACAGAGCTGTTTGGAACTCGATCGGATCACGAAAAGAGCTTCTTTTTCGGCCTTGACGATCAGCTCAACAAAGTGGACAAGTTTTTTAGATGCAAGGAAGACGAGTACGATGCTCAAGCACGGCAACTTCACATCCAAATGGAAGAGCTCATCCCTATGCAAGGTTCGTTCTAGCAGCCTCTAATTCTGTGGCACTTAACTTGGAATCGTTTGATCTCTGCCATGTTGTAGATGACGAATCTCAGAGCTTGAAGGGGAGCCCGGCAACAAAGGAAAGGTTCAGCGAGCAGCCAAGATGCTCCAGACGGCCTTTGTCGAATTTTATCGTGGGCTTCGACTCCTAAGAAACTTCAGGTGAATGACCTCTATACGATTGATCCATGTTCTCAAAGTGTTGACAACTTACTTGGCAGCTCCTTGAACATGATGGCATTCGTCAAGATCCGCAAGAAATATGAAAAGGTACTTATGGAAAATGGAAAATTAGTGCAGACTTCTAAAAAGGTTTTTTAAATTTTCAGGTGACTGGAGTCTGGCAGTCGAAAACTCTCACTTTGCAACGTCGGACAAGGTGTGAAGAAATTTTCCTTTTGAGGGTCTTGCTGATGGAATTTCATTGCTCCAATGCACTCCAAGCGAGCAATCATGGAAATATAAACTTTATCCTGGGTAAGAGCAGGATATCCATTTCATGCATTCGGACCGTCGTTATTAATTAACCTTCTATCACCATTGATGATGCGACGCAGAGATTGTATACTAGTGGTTTCATGGCAATGGCATTGCCTCTAGAAAAGGAAAGCAGTCACCATACCTTTGGGAATAACTGTAATCTATTCATTTAATTTTCAGCTAGAACTTTCAGAGATCACGGACCTTATCGTTTCTTCTTGCTGCGCTTTTGGTAGCCTCCTCTTCGGCGTTGTGGTCGGCTTCAAGTCTCGTGAGCTGCAAATCAAACAATGCTGTAGTGAGGATTCCTTCTTGAGACACCACTTTACCTTGTCAAGGACGGGTTTAAGTTCTCTGTAGCGTGTCTTTGCCAAGTCAAATCCATCCTTCCTGAGCTCCTGATAGATGCATAGAGCATGAAGAACGAGCGAAAGAAAACCTGCGTTGTCACCTTTCCAGTGTGTTGGGTGTGATCGTAAGGTGCCATTTGCCAATACATGATCGTCCAAGAGAAAAAATCTCTCAGCGTTTCTCCAGGCTGAAAGACAAATCAATAACAAAACAGGAAGATGAACTACTATCAGCACTCACCAAAAGTGTTTGTTGGGAATCAGCCATGCCCAGCTCGGATCGACCTTTAATTTCCGTGCTTTCTGTGTCAGTTTTTTGCCTTCGCCCCTAAGAATAGCAGCTGCCTCTTCACAGTGACTCCACTGCATCCTAGAATACAAAAGGAAACCGACAAGTTTTCTTACATCCTTCTTTTTTACTACCTCGTCATCGTCCTCTTCGTCTTTTCCTTTATTAATCGATCCAGCATGGTGACTGTTGTCACCATCAGTTTCGCCTTTCTCCTTACTAGCTTCAATCCACGCGCTTTGTGTTTCCTGCTTGAGACATTAGTATGAGGCTGGATGATGGCTCGATCATACTAACCTCAATAATGCACTTCCACACATCGAAGGTCCAGCGAGGAAAGGTCGTCGTGTCACTTTTTTTTCGCCGACTTCTTTCATACCTCCATACAGAAACAAAGTATCCTTTCCAACGACCATTCCAGCATTCATTCTTCCACCAGGCAACAACCTTCAAGCAGAACGCTCAACGTTGAGACGCATTTTCCACATTTGGATCAGCCACTTTCTTCTGCTTTGGATGCACACTTAACCACTACACAATCTCAGATTGCCATACCTTAATCTTTAGGCTCTTTGGCTTGAGAAGCTCCAAAGGATACCTGCGAGCGATGGTGTTTAGATAATTTTAAAAAAATCGACGAGATACAAACCATCTGGAAAGCATATACATCTCGATCATAAAAACGCTGTGCAGGGAATCACCTGCAAAAGGAAATCAGTTTAGTTGTTAAAAAACAAGGAAGAGCGATGAGCGACAGAAACAAACCTTATAATCGTCTAAATCCAGCACTTAAAGATTATTGAAGTACCTGTGTCAAAAATTCAATACTAAACATCTACACTGCTGAAACGGCCGACCTTTCTTCCCTCAGCGTGTCATAAAATCCACCAAATAGAATAAGTTTATGTTTCTGTGGCAAGAAAGAAAAAAATAAAGATTATGTTTAGAAGCGCAATACATACCAATCTATGTCCGGAACGAGCACCTGGACAGCCTTTTAGTTTGAAGCTGCTCCAGCCACACATATTTGTGTTTAAATCCAGTCTCCATAAATCCTGCAAGAACTCTCTTGTAAGTCAGCTAGAAACACAGCTTATAGTGATGAAACCGAATTCACCACCTACACTGCCAAAATCAAGAGAAGTCCTGGAAAAATACATCATACCAAAACTGAAGAGCCAGTTTTTCCACGCAACCCCCTGGTGAGCGCTTCTCGGGGAGGAGGGTTTGGACTGGTGACAGGCTTCCACTCGTTCTTCTCGATGTTGTATTGGTAGAGATCACCATAAACGTAAGTCTAGCATAGCAAACACGAAGATCAAATCACCGTAGCGAAACTAACCACAAACCTTGTCACCATTGTTGGTATTCACCTCCATAGACGATCAGCGCAGTGTCCTTGACGGGATTTACAGTCACCTGAAACGCAAGGAAAGAAGAATTCTAGAGAATGTGAGCTTCCAGAGTGGAGATTTCAATCGAGTTCTTACGCACAGAGCAATTGCATTGTGGTGAAGGAGCTGCTACATTCTCATCGACATGAATTTCGCTCTTCTTTGCTTTCTCCTCGTGGAGTTTAGCCTGACAAGAAGGAAAACGATTGAGAGTCTTTGGCCAGAGCTTTGCTTACCAAGATCGCATCAATATCATCCTCGTCCCACACCTTCTTCTCGTCGCGATGAGCTCGCTTCTCCGCCGCCTTGGCCGTCTTGCTCGAAGAACCCTAAAACCTAAATTAACTCTTGCTTGTACTGTCCGCTTTGCTTTCATACTTCCACAGCTGGCATATGCTTTGCTTCCACAGCTGGCATATGCTTTGCTTTTCTTCCACAGCTGGCATACTTTCTTTAGTGCTTTGCTTCCACTGCTGGCAAGGTTCACTTTCAAGTTTACTCGTGCTCTCCACTGCCCCTTCGATCCAGGGCAAACTTCCATGGAGGAGGAGCGACGAGAGTGGATCATCTGTGATTCTGTCAAGGAGATCAAGGAGGCTCTCGCAGCGAAGCGGGACAACAAGCGGCACTTCAATGCGATTCGGTTTGATTGTGGGGAGAGGCTGGATGCGCTTGACTCATCCAAAGGTGAGTTTGTTGATGAGGTGAGTGCTACCGTTGAGGGGTTTGGAGGCACAGAGGAGGATCTGATTGGTGTGCTCAACTGGTGCATTTCAAATCCACCCTGGTTAGACGGGGCTCTGGATGTGGGAGATGCTCCTGGTGATGGCAGTTCGTCTGCTGCTGCTGCTGCTGCTCACATTGACATTCTCAAGGCCGCTTTGGTACCACAGCTCGACATCAGATTCATCCACTTCGCTGCCAGGGTCGCTTGTAGGTTGGGCATTCCCAGTGATCGAATGCAAAGGGTGGCAGAGGGCATTGCTCCTCCTCAGCAGGGACGGGATATTCGCCAGATTGAGGTGCAGAGGTTTGCAAAGCTACTGATGATGACAGAGGAATTCAAAGTCTTGAAATTGCTAATATTCAATTGGGAAGGCAAAGACGTCCTCACACCACCTCAGGAGCTTGAGTTGGCCTTTGCTCAGCTCGACTGCTTGACAGACCTCCAGTTGTGGCATGTTGGGAACCCAGAGACTCTACTTAGCCAACTCCTTAGGAAAGCAGGAAACAACTTGAAACATCTCTGGTTGGAGAGGAACAGGATGACAGTGGAAGGATTTGGGAAATTGAGTAGGGATCTGGCAAGTCAGGAGTGCAAGGTGGAAGAGTTAGCCATCGTTCTGGATGAGGACATTGACAAGGAAGGGTGGGAACAGGCATTTCAGAATGGCATTTGCAATAAGCTAATAGAACTGAAGGCACTGTTTCCAGAGGGGGCAGGTGAAGCACTCTTCAAGGCACTCACGAGTCCAAACTGTTCACTGCAAAGACTATACCTACTTTGGGATAGTGATCCTGCAGTGTTGCCATGGGTATGCAAGGCTCTTCAGGAGGGCACCAGCCTGTCAGTTTTAGATTGCCGAAGTGAGGACCTGAGCAATGCAACGGGCCTGGGTGAGGCCCTGAGCAGCGCTAAGTGTGGCTTGGAGGAACTCATCGTTACACTTTATCCAGGTGATGGTGGTGGATGGTTGGGCAGAGCGCTACAAAATCCCAATTGCAAGCTGATCAAGCTTAAACTTTCTTTTCGCAACGAGGGAGGAGGAGTGGTCTGTGACAGCAGTCTGTGGTCAGCCCTCTCAAGTCCACATTTTAAGCTGCGCCATTTGGAAATATGGAGTAGTAGAGAAGATGAGTTAACGTTGGAGTTTGCCGAGGGCATAGAGAAGAGCCAACTGGAGCATTTGGATATATGGAGCTGCAAAATCACGAATGGGGAGCTCTTTTGGAAAGCTATCACCAGCTGCAAGTATCTGAAAGCTTTGTCATGTGAGTCGGAGCTGCCATGGAGGTGCCTTTTGGGAAGCAGCATTGAAGACTTGAGAATATCTCAGCGAAATTTTGAAAACCTGGAAGACCTTTGCCAGTTGCTGGGAGATCCAAAATGCAAGTTGCTCAAATTCAGGGCTCCTTCTCTTAGAAGTGATGCACAGAAGAGACAAATTCTGGCTGCCCTGGAGGAAAACTACCAAAGCCTCGTGGAAGAGCTTGATATAGGCAATGATTCCGAAGCTTCTGAAGCTTTCAAGCAGAGGTGTTCTGATCTTTTAGAGCGGAATGCAATCTTCCAGCAGAGTGCATTCAAAGACTTTGACAACCCGTCAACAGCAAAGCTCTTCTTGTGTGGTGCTAGCAGGGTTGGAAAGACCACAATAAAGAAAAACCTCTGCCGCAGAGTGTCTTGGTTTCCATCATGTCTCCAAGGGCATGCTTCAACAGCAGGCATTGAGCTGCAACCACTTGTTTATGCGACCACCAAACAAAAGCTGCTCATTTGCGACCTGGCTGGACAGGAAGAGTTCCATGCTTTCCACCAGTACTTTCTCAGAGGAAGTGAGAAGGATCTCTTCTTGATCGTATGCAAGGTGGAGGATGACAATTGTGACGTTTTCAAGCAGAATTTGGTTTACTGGCTGAGGTTCATCGCTTCACATCAATCAGCCTCACCCAAAAGAAAGCCCAGGGTCTTGATTGCCTTGAATTTTTTCACTCGAAAATGCAGCTATGACCCAAAGAAGGTGGTTTCTGCAATAATCTCCGACAAAGACAAAGGCTATGGGCAAGTACTTGAGTTTGGGACAGATCCTTGTTTTAAGGTGGTGGCCACTCAAGTGAAAGATTTAAGGGGGATAAAAACCATGTTGGGGAGTTGCTTGCACGAACTGCTGTCATCCCAGCAACAAATACCACGGGAATGTCTCGAAGCAAAGAGGAAACTGGTACAAGGTGCCAGTCAGAAGAAGGTCATACCCCTAGACAAAGTTGGCGAAATCCTCTTGCCTAACAGCAGTTTCAAAAGTGAAGAAGCCTGGAAGAATGTTATTAAATTCGTCTTGCAGTTTCTACATGATTGTGGAGATGCAATTTACTTTGGCTTGGGACATGAAGAGGGTGACATTGTGTCTCAATTTGTCATCTTAGATGTCCAATGGTTTATGAGGGATGTGGTGCAACTCTTCATACCTACAGGGAAGATCAGCAAATTCAAAAGTCAAATGGAAACACACCAAGTTGAACATCGATTGCAAGAACAATGTGGGAACCAAGACAAAATAGTGGAGTACATTCTTGGAGTGCTCCATGAGATGGGACTGATATTGCCTTGGGATGAAACATGGGATGGGAATTGGCATAACTTGCCCAAAAAGTTGAAAATGCCAACACTATTGCAAGAAGAATATTCACCTCCAGAATATTTATCATTGCCATCAGTGCCAATTGACACTCAAAAAAACCACAACTACTGGGGCAGGAGGTTTGAATGCAAAGACAAGGACTTGAAATTGTTTCCTGCAAGTATTTTCACAAAGATCCAAATTAAACTTCACAAATTAAGCAAGAAAGGTTTTAGGCCTGGGAATGGATGGGTGGCTTTGAAAGAGAACCTTATCAAGACAATTGTGAGAGTTGGGGGAGACACAGACAATTGGAAAGATAGGCAATGGGTTGATGTCATCATCTATTACCCAAAAGAGGTAAAGAATGCACCAAGGCCAGATTTGGAAAAAGAAGCTGAAGGATGGATGGAAAAAATTAGAAATTGCATTATTGGGGTATGTATGGAGGATTGCCCATCTTTGGAAATTGAAGAAAATGTGATGAGACGTGGTTATGTATGGAGAAGGATACTAAATAAGGGGGACAAACTAGAATTATGGGCTTCAGTTATTTGTCCACTAAAGGAAGTCAAATGTGAAGCAAAAGAAAGAGGTTTAGAATACTCCCACACTTGGAATTATTCACATGAAGTAGAGGACTGGGATGTGAATAATGATTTGAAGGTCTCAGATGAGAATGCTTTGGCTAAGCTATTGATGCCCAATGAGCAAAAACATGAACTGGTGAATAAGTTTGTTGAACTTCATGAACTCTTGAAGGACTATGACGAGGTTGGAGAAGTCACAATTCCCAAAGCATCATCAGATGTTATTAAGTTTCCAAACATTGAAGACCCAAAACTTGATGCAATCCTCAGATATATTAAGAAGATGTTTGATAAAATGGAGAACCGTTTTGACAAGTTGGATACAAAACTTAATGACATTGAAGTAAGCGTTAACGAGCTCAAGAATGGAATCAAGTTTATCATGGATAAAGTGAATGCAATCCATACAACGTGTTTTCAAGTATTATTGAAATTGGAGACAGATTGCCCAAAATATCCATATATTCTTGATGAGAATAATAGGTGGAAAAATTACAGCAAAATATTGGGAACACATGGTAGACTTCACTATTTGTGTGAATGGCCTGAAGGAACTTCTAAAGGTCATCAAGTGAAGAGTTCTGAAGGTGTTGAATTGAATATCCCACCAAACTGGCTCGAGAAATTTGCTCCAGTACTTAAATATACATTGATTCTATTATTTATTGGGGCCAAAGTTGGAGGACATTTTGCTGGTATTGGAGAGATAGTGAATGCAATAGTGGATGAGATCAAGGGAAGCCTTATAAGTTTTTTGGATTCATGTCTTCTCAAAAGCAAGCTAACTACAAATCCCAAAGCAGAAGATGTGCAAGAGATATTTAAGCTAGTGACAACTAAATTTGGGAAAGAAGAAAAACAGGAGACAATCATGGAAAAATATTTTGCTCTTCATCCTATAATCTTGGAGGGAAAACAAATATGGGTCTGCAAAGGTATTTAGCATTTAAGTTTTTTGTTTTATCTAACAAACACCATTCTAAAGCAGATCATTAATCTATATTTTTATAAGGTGGGTTAGCAAAATGAAGGTAAATAAATATGCTTTATATAGTTATTACTATATATCTTTGGTATGATTCAGGTCTATTTTGTAGTTGAAGTTAATGAGGTAAGTTTGTATTATAACTTTAAATTATCCTTTCCTGCTTATTTTAATGTTTCAAGTTTATTTCAGTGTTGAATATCTAATATTTTAAGTGAAGGAAAAGCTACCAAATATTTTATTTTTTATCCCATAATTTGGATGATAAAACAATATATATTTACAAAGGTATTTTATATTGAAATATATCCATGCTTTTAATTTTATCTAATAGAGGCTATATAGGGCATTTGAAGTAAATCATTAATTATATATTTTGCTCTTCATCCCATAATCCTGGATGAAAGAAAAATATGGATCTGCAAAGGTATTTAACATTTAAGATTTTAGTTTTATCTAACAAACACCATTCTAAAGCAGATCATCAATATATATTTTTACGAGGTAGTTGGAAAGATGAAGATAAATGAACATACTTTATATAATTATTACTATATGTCTTGGAATGATTGGGCTATATTTTGTAAGAAAAGTTGATGAAGTAAGTTTTACATTATTGCTCTAAAATATTATTTCACGTTTATTCTAATGTTTGAAGTTTATTTCAGTGTTGAATTTTTAATAATCAAAGTGAAGGAAAAACTCATCAAATGATTTCATATTAATGATATTTCGATATGAAAACAAAAATTGTGAAAGAAATTGACCATAAGACAATCATGGCCAAATATTTTAATATCCATCCTATAACTTTGGATTATAAAATAGTATGGATTTACAAAGGTATTTTACATTGAAATATATCTATGATTTTAGTTTGATTTAACAAAGACTATGTAGGGCATTTAAATAAATAATTGATTATATTGATTTTTGAGATTATTTGGCAAAGCAATGATAAATCAAATGTCCTCTATATTGTTATAGCTATGGCAGAATGTTATTTGTACTATGATTATGCTACATTTCCTGATATAAGTTGATGAGGTATCTTTACATATTGCTCTAAAATAATTTTTATATTTATTCTGATGTTTCAGTATTGAATGCTTTAAAGAAAAGCTACTAAGATGATTTCATGTTAGAGGCATTTTTTATTTTGGCATCTTTGGTAAAACAATTCTAGGAATGAAGTTAATTAAAATTAATAAACCTTTTGAGGTAATGCATTTCAAAACTAAATACAAGTGCTTAACTGTTATTTATCATCACATACTATAGGAGATAACTTTATATTATCTTTACCAACTTCAACTTATTCTTTAAATTAATGTTTAGCTAAAATATGTTACAAACTACAGTTTAAAGTCTTATGAAAATTGTCATTATTCACAATTCCATTTACTTACTAAACTCTATATAGAAATTTGTTTACTCTCCTCAATTATATATATATGTCATCCCATAAAACTAAACACTGTATTGTGCTTTAACTATTGTAAGCAATAATTTAACAAAAAAAAGTTTTTGAGTGTTTGTAGACACTTTTTACAAAATACAAAATATGTATTAAACACCATTTATATTTATTTTAAAAATGAAGTATAAAGATATTTTTTACTATGAAATCATTTGCAACACATCAAGTGTTACTTGAGAGTAGCTCTAATGAAAATGCTTTCTAAATACTTATTTTGAAAATTCTAGTAAATATTCATTTTTGAAAGGTTGTTTAATTTTAAATTGTTTTCTTTCTTGCTAGGTTATTTACAAATATTAACTTATATTATTTATGGCACTATAATCTCCTGAATTTGGGCTTTCTAAAAGGTCATCTAACCCAATACTATTTAAAGATGCTTAATCTCAAATAACCCAAAACTTATAACTAATTGGAACAAAGGGTACATTTCTATATTTAAAACAATATTAATAATTTTTTAAGTTATTATCTTTGGTTGTTTATAATCCATCATGCTTTTTTGGAAGTTCACGCCTTCGTAAATGGAAGTTGAAAGTTGCAACTCTTCTAAGAGTCCCGCTCTTTTAACACCTTACCCCTCGAGTTGAAATTGGAGTAAAGTAAACTTAATAAATATCAATCTTAACATGTGGTGTGATTTCTTTAATCAATTAATAGAGTCACACCTTAGACTTCTCTAATACCAAATATAAGTTTTTAAATTTGGACTTCATAAAAGGTTATTTAGCCATTTGGGTATCCAAAAGTGGAACTGGACACATAGAGCATTTAAACTAAGTACAAAGTTGATGTGGTTACAAGAACACATTTTAAAGTTAGCAAACACCCAAATTAATATCAGGGCCTATAGAGATTATGAGTGAGACTCCTTTAGATGATCCTAAAGTAAAAAAAAAATTAATCATTTATAAAGATGCCGAAAGCATGGTGATGGTTGCGATCACCACCACCATAACAAAAATGACAAGCCATAATTATAGTATACTGCTATTTACATTGCCTTGATAAGCATTTATAACATGCAAAAATTCAAAAATAAACTTTATTGAAACCTTTGCAAACTCAACCAAGTTTATGAGCTAAATGAAGAAGTTTGGTTTAGAGATGTTTGCCTAAGCTCACTCCCAATCTTTATCTCATCCTTGTCTAGAGAACCAACATCTCAATCATTTATTATACCTTGTAAATTGGTAAGAAAAAGCTTCAAATTATCACTAATATACTGGTTTATATGATTTTTCAAATTTTTGGGCTAGTATTTAGTATTAGGTTGCTAAGATTTTATGCCAAGCTAAGTAATTTCTCAAGAGAAAGATTTAAGTGAATTTGAAATAAACTCTTTGTAGACAATAACTTACAAAAGAAAAAAGGGTAAGTCACTATATTATTTATATATGGAACTTATTAAAGAGGACCTGCTCGATAAAAAATACATTGTCCAACTTAGGGCTTTATGTATTGATTGAGTGGAGATAGATTATCAAGCAAAGATGAACATTTGGCTAAAGCTTTGATTTATTAATGGTTTTGTTGAGATTGGGCAAAATGTTATTATAAATTTATAGTTCATTTTGTAAGTGATTGGATTAATTTTTGTTACTCTTTACAGTTGGACAATCTCAAGAGTTTCCTCTTTTGCTTTTGAAGGAGAGCTTTGTTTGTGCTTGTACAAATAAGTTAAGTAAGACAATCCAAATACAAAAGGAATCCATATGACCGCTGCCACGTGTATCAAAAAATTGTAGCTTTTCTTATAATTATTTTTAGCTGTGCATCATTTACAAAACTTACACTCTACAAATCTCACTCGCAAGAGGTTTTTACTATATCACCAAAGTTGTTAGTAACCTTGTGTAAAATTGATACCTTCTCCTTAAATATCAACAATGGATTGTATTTCATTTTCATATCCAACATAGAAAAATTTATGGATGCCTTGTGGTACTAAGTATTTACCAAATGACCACTTAATTCTAGATTCAATGTTTGTATTACAAAGAAAAAAAAGCAAGAGAAGGAATATTTGGATTTTATGCTCCAAAAGTAATAAGAGTGAGAGTAGCACCTTAGAATATCTAAACCAAATAACACTTGAGATTCATTAATTGTCCTTGAAAGCCAAGATATCAACAAAAAGTAGTGATCACAAAAATAATAGAATAAGTGGTTGCATTTGAAATGTTGGAGATAAGTTAATATTACATTCTCAAAATAAATACTATAAATAGAGAATGTTATTAGGTGACTGGAGTCTGGCAATTACCTCAAGATGGTCGAAAACTCTCACTTTGCAATGTCGGACAAGGTGTGAAGAAAGGACTAACCATACCTCTGGGAATACCTGTAAATACCCTTCGATCCAGGGCAAACTTCCATGGAGGAGGAGCGACGAGTGTGGATCCCCTGTTTGTCTGTCAAGGAGATCAAGGAGGCTCTCGCAGCGAAGCAGGACAACAAGCGGCACTTCAATGCGATTGTGTTTCATTGTGGGAAGATCTGGAGGCTGGAGGCGCTTGACACATCCAAAGGTGAGTTTGTTGATGAGGTGAGTGCTACCGTTGAGGGGTTTGGAGGCACAGAGGAGGATCTGATTGGTGTGCTCAACTGGTGCATTTCAAATCCACCCAGTTTAGACGGGGCTCTGGATGTGGGAGATGCTCCTGGTGATGGCAGTTCGTCTGCTGCTGCTGCTGCTGCTCACATTGACATTCTCAAGACCGCTTTGGTACCACAGCTCGACATCAGATTCATCCAGTTCGCTGCCAGGGTCGCTTGTAGGTTGGGCATTCCCAGTGATCGAATGCAAAGGGTGGCAGAGGGCATTGCTCCTCCTCAGCAGGGACAGGATATTTGGCAGATTGAGGTGCAGAGGTTTGCAAAGCTTCTCATGACAGAGGAATTCAAAGTCTTGAAAGTGCTACGTTTCAATTGGCAAGGAGGCAAAGACATCCTCACACCACCTCAGGAGCTTGAGTTGGCCTTTGCTCAGCTCGACTGCTTGACAGAGCTTTGGTTGTACAGGGTTGGGAACCCAGAGACTCTCCTTAGCCAACTCCTTAGGAAACCAGGAAACAACTTGAAACGTCTCCAATTGCTGGGGAACAGGATGACAGTGGAAGGATTTGGGAAATTGAGTAGGGATCTGGCAAGTCAGGAGTGCAGGGTGGAAGAGTTAGTCATCGAAGATAACCACATTGGCAAGGAAGGGTGGGAACAGGCATTTCAGAGTGGCATTTGCATTAAGCTAGTAAAACTGGTGGCAACGTTTCGAGAGGAGGCAGGTGAAGCACTCTTCAAGGCACTCACTTGTTCAAACTGTTCGCTGCAAAGACTATACGGGCGCGGACCATACTTGAGCTCACGAGTTGAAGAGTTGAGCTCACGAGTTGAGGTCAATTTTCAATTGTAATTTAGTACGAACATTATAAATTTTAAAATTTTAAGGTTATGGCGAACCTAATAATTTAATAACTCTCTATATATTATATAGATAAAAATGTTCTAAAGAACACATTTTGTTCTAATAATTTAAATATTTACTACATGCAATGATAGGGACATTTGTTAGAACATAAAATAAAATGTTTGAAAAAAGAGTATTCTTGTCACTTCTTTAAATTTGTACTCTATACTTTTTGGCTAGTAAATATTAGGTTTGTCAGAATTAAAAAATTATTAAATTTGAAATAAGATTCTATGTGAAACCATATAACCGTTTGAAAGGAAAAAAAATAACCGTTGATGTAAGTTTATTGCATATAAAAGAAAGACTTGGTTCTTTGTAGAATACATTCTTGAGGGGTTTGTCGTAGCATACTGTCTAGAATTTATAGATCTTCATTCACACTCTCATTCAAAAAAAGGGAAATACACCCACAAATGTCTATGGGTTCTAGTGTTGGTAATTTTAACTCTCACAATCTTTCTTCCCAGAGCTCAAGGGCTAGGAGATGCAATAACTATCCCATTGCACAGCATAACCAAATCACACAAGAGAATGAAAGAGAGGATAGTGAGGATAGTGATCATGAGTTGGAGATAAATGCAATGACAGAGGGTGCAACAAATTGGGTGAAAAAGAATGCCCTCTTACTTGTTTTAGAAAAGTGCAATTCTGCCACTTTCAAGAAGTGCCCCATATGTTTTCTAGCGTCTGGTGGAAACAATGGCAATGATCAGTATGATGGTATATATGCTCTTGCGACACACTGCAATATCACGCACCCGAAAGACTACCATGAAATCTTTTTTGAGATGGTAAAGACAGAAATGGAGACACACGAGTACTATGAGCAGTATTGCGAGAAGAACACTCGGAAGCATATAAAATGAAAAGTGAAATGAAAAAGCACATTTGTATTAATTATATAAAGTATAATAAGTTTTATTAATAGAGAATAAACATCAATAGTGTTGGAGAAATCTAATCAGCTCCAAAAGTTTTTTGCAACTCAGCAATAGTAAGGCTTGCTTGGTGTATATGAATATCCACTTTAGGATCCTGGTGCAAGATGTTGATGAAGATGTAGTACATATGCTTGCAAGGAGCATATGCC